AACTAAATGAAGGGAATTTAAAAAAAAACGGTTTTTCGGCAATTACGTAAGTACCTATTGGTTTTTGTGGTTACATTTTTTTACAATGCGATTGCTTAGCATCTAGCTGGTGGAGAGCATGAGCTTGTATTCCTCAAGATCAAAACAATTTGCACACTAAAAAGTTAATATAGCTATTGAAATTGAACTTATAAACGGTACTTTGGAAAAAGCACAAATGAAAAACAGGAAAAAAATTATATGACCTTTTTTTTTTTTTTATAACAACGATAGGCAAACGAGCAAGACGGGTCACCTGATGGTAAGTGATTCACCGCCGCCCACGGTCACCACTCTTCTACGAAATAAGCCCATAATATTATTTATCTTATAGTCTCGTGATAATTTTGTATTCAACAGTAATGACGTTAAGTTTTAAAAGTATTTATTCAGATTAGGCCAACTAGTAGCAAAGTCACTAGTTTGATAAGCATGAATCATTTGCTTTGACGACAACGCGTGAATAAAAGTAAAATACATTTAGTAAATTAACGATTTTTCTTTTTTTTAAATCTGTTAAATCAGTTATACTTGTGCCTACTTCATTTTTTATTGCCTTCCGATAAACCTGACCTGACCATATTTATAGTCGTTTTAATGAAAAAAAAAAAAAAATGCGATGTCTTTACCCCTTAGGATCCTTTATTAGTGAAAACAACTTTAAAAACGTTTTGATTTAACTAGTGTTCATCAATTGGTCTAATTTGGTTATAAAAAATATATAAAATTTACCATTTGACGATGGTGATGATGATGATGATCAATAGCTTTATTTAGCTAATTTTACTTAGATAACATCAGCAATTCGTTAACAACTTAAAAATACGGCTAACAAGCAGAGGAAGAATCACTGAACTAATATTTATTCTCTGCCTATTTATATGTGTGTTCGCCCAACAATGGAACTTCGAATTTAACCATTGACAATTCCAGATTAATAAAAAATGTAAACAGAAAAAAAAATGGAGAAGAAAATTAGTAAAAACGATTCGGTATTTTTAAAAAAAAAATACGGACAATTCGTAATTACATATTTTAAGTTTGTATTACACTAAATTTCGTCACGAGAATCCGCTGGATGCGGGATGTGCAGGACCTGAGTTCAGCAGTGGACGGCTCTGAGCTGATGATGATTATACGAAAATGTATTTTATCTATGGTGGGTGTATCTATGGCAGACACTAGACACAGAGAGGGTGAAATCTTATTATAACCATACTAATTCTATACGGAAACTCACTTGCCCGGAAGAGACAGATATTGCTTGCTTATGCTGTCCGAAATCCTGACTGATTATAGGGTATATAAATATGTATATTCTTTATTAAGCCCATATATTTTACCTTTTAGATGTAGATAGATAGATATTCTAGATATTTCGATCATCGTCTACCATCTAGGTGGTCAATTTGATAGTAAAAGGAAATATTATTGTATTTTACCATTAAATTAACTACTTGAACGCCTATTTATAAAACTAACACGGAATATCCTAGGACGTATTTACCGAAAGATAAATATGAACATGAGTGTTAGTTTAAGGAAACCAAATATTTGGTTTGATATATCCGGAATCCAATTCAGTGCAATCAATTGTAACTAATTAACGAGCTATTATTTGTATTTCCTGTCATCGTCCAGCATAAGCCCGGCGGGAAGATGCTATCCGTTCTAGGTTACTAGATGTGACATCAGTTTAACATCTGAATTGAGCACTCAACTTTAGATTTTAAGATTGGAGGCAACACTTACACTTAGAGTTTCTTATAGCACCATACGTGTAATGAGCTGGTTTATCCATAGACCTACCGACACAAAGAGAAAAAAACACAAATTCCAAATGTGAAATATTTTTATCAAAAAGAGACGTATCTTGCCCGAGGATCTTCGATCAACAGTTACTATTGTTGATCGAAGCCGAGGATTAAACCGAGGCAAATACAGTAAAACTTATTACTACGGGCGGAAAGTCTAAAGTTAATCACAATTAATATTTGGTTCTACCAATACACTAATAACCAAAACACTAGGTAAAAATAGTATGTACTTAAAATTCGGACGTTGGATTTTTTTGTAAGAAGATTTGGGTACGTGTTTTTTAATGTTTTATTTTAACACCTTTTTATAAGTTTTATGTTTAAGTATTAATTTTAGTTATTATTTGTTCACTCATGTGCTGTGTGGAATGGTGGAAATTTGTTTTTTAACCTATTTTTAATATTCTAACTGGACGCGTTGGTCTGTTAATTTCCTAAATAAAAAAATTAAAATAACAATGCGTCTACTATTCACTGTCAAAGTTTACAATGAAAAATTCACCAGATCACAAAATGATTAGTTTTTGTTATTAAGTTTTTTTTTTAATACCTCTTCGAACTGATAAAATGAACAAATTTTATTTCAACGACTTCATTTGGCAATGCGTTTCAGTAACACGTTTCATAAGAGTGAAATTGATAATAGCCCGCCAGATGGCAATGCCAGGCCGACAACGGCTGTCAAGGTTGCAACCGTTCCATGCAACTCCTTAAGAGGTCAAGCTTCAGGTGCATGCAATAAAGAGCGTTCTAACTTTCAATTTATTTAAATGTATTTTATTTTTTGCGTGCCTTTAATTAAAATTTTTGGCAAGCCTACCACAGCCTACTGTAGCAACTACATTAAATATTATTAAATATTCCAATTGTCTTTTATAACGATCACGTTTTTGAATTGCTGCCTGCAAAAATGTAGATTATTGTGTAGTGTTTTTTTTTGTAATTTGGAAATTTAATTTTGTGTTGAAAGGTCAATTTTTGTAGTAAGGTAGCTTTTCGCCTCGCGAGGTCATCGCTTTTTTAGGGGTAGTTAGGGGTATTTAAGGAGTAACGACTTTTCCAATTTCACTAGGACAGGTGGACTCAGCCAGGAGGGACGGGATTTGCTAACGGCTGCCCAAGTGGCTCTAGAAGAGACCTAACAGATCAAGGGTAGATGCTTCGCAATGCATCTACCACCGGATCGGAAGCTCACCCGGTGAGAAAAAACTGAGCAAGGTCAGGTGTATAGGTTAAGTTGCACGTCGAGCTCTTTGCCGAGTTCGACAGCTATTTGGTACAACTTTAACCTTTACCCTATACATTTTACAAATTGACGAGTGAAATTTCCAAAAAAAAATCTTAGTACAAAGCTTAGAATACAAAATAGTGTCAATTTTTTAAGTTTGCAACCACAGCGGCTTAAGTGCACATGAATCAGTCAGTCAGGACAAGCAAAATAATATTTATGGATAAAAAATGTTGCCTTCACTTTTGCAATTTATTCCTACCCAGCCCTAATTAGGGGTAAGGTATTTATAATGAAAGCATGCACGGGACCATCCTACTCGTTTGTGTTGCCAATTATTAGGGTAATTTGGTATCTGGTAAATAGGATAGTATTACAATATTACTGGATCGGGCACAAGTACGCTCATCGGCGGTGCATGTCTAGAGATCTTTTTTGGCACGTATCTTCTGACTGCGGAATGAACTCTCCTTCACCGTGCTTCATGAGCCCCATGACGTCATTTTTCAAACTAGCCTTATGGAGAGTACTTAGCGGTAAGCAACGACTTGGTTGTGGTTCTGATATTGCTGATGTCCATGAGCGACGTGAATAACGGACCACCAGATAGCCTTATGCTCGTCCGTCTGCAAAAGCCATAAAAAATGCAAAGTTTATAGGTAATGGAAACTCTGATTCCAGTGGAGAGTAATATAGCGACATCTATCGGCCATGCCGTGAAAACCGGAGGCTTTTCTGATTGTTGTGTGAGCACCGGTATTTCCGGTATTGTTTAATGAGTGTATTGTTATAAAATTATGTATACATTTGGAAAAGTGCATAAATGTTGAGAAATGAATAAAAATAGCCGAACATAGTTCCTCGAGTTTTTTCAAAAAGTTCACACAAGTCTCCGTAAATTCCTTTTACTGGAACCTTCTTATTTTTCTTTTCATATCGTTTCATTTCATTTAATTTTATTCAATTTAATTCAGGTAAATGATACAAATCCAGAGAATTCAAATTCATTTCATTTAGCCCCATTTCATTTTTTATTTATCAAAATTTAAATTTGTGCATGCATGTATGTATTTAGTAATCATTTAGGATTATCATACATCGACATAAACTCGACGCTGGGTTCATAAGGGGATCCCATCATTGGGATCGCAAGAGGATAATGATTGATTGCCATACTGAAAAAAAGATAAGAAGTCAGGTAGTTAAAAAACCGAGATAGGGAATTTAAATTACTTCGTATTTGCATCATTATTTCTAAAGAAGATAGAAATTTAATTAGATGTAATTAAAAAATTTATATCTAAGAGCGCTACGCGCTATCGCTATCGCGATATAAAACACCTAGACAGAAATGAAGTTTCTGTGTAAGCCCGAAAGTATTTTAAGATATTTGTGATATTAGGGGAAACGATAGTCCAAACAGCTTTCTTAGAAGAAATTATTTCATATGGGGTCCCATATGAAATAATTTGATACTTGAGAACTCCGGCCCATGGAGCCTTGCTCCACGCGAGACTGATCATATTAATCACAGAACTGTATAATATCATGGACCTGTCTTTGATCATGCGTAATCTACTATTTCATACTGTTGAATATCCCTTGCATTTGAGAAACCAAGTTGGCATGGCAGCACTACTAGCAGTTAAACTAATAATTCCCGACATTAAATTTAGAACAACAACATTATTATCAAAGTAATTCACTAATAAAGTACGATACTTGGGGAAAAACTAGACACAAGCGCTGCTTCACATTAATAATGTTTACTCATTTTTGTGCATGATTTAATACCCTTTACTATGTCACATGCCTGTCAAGATCGAAGAATAAAACAAAACTGTGTTTATGGTATTCAAATTGACAACGACATTAAAAAAATATTTGGAGTATTGTCTATGTTTTCTGACCACCATGGCGAGTACATCGAGGTCTGTTTTTCTGTGTTATTTTATTTATATTAGCTTTAAACCGAGACTTAGTTCATTTATACAAAGCCGATAAGCAATACGATAGATATTCGTGATGAGTAAGTTGGTGATAGTACTTAAGTGGTGTTTAAAATCGCGTTAAAATAGCATACGATTTCTACTTGTTAGATTGTGAACCTACTTTTGTTTGTGTTTTTAGAATTGAGGCGAATAAAGTGGTTTGCTATGCTCACCCTGATGCGCCCCTTATCGAGGATTACAGAGCGGGTGATATGATATGTTCTGAATGCGGTTTGGTGGTCGGAGACAGGTAAGTTAGTACCTTTATTTGCGAAACAAAACGTTGGAACGCGCGCGCTATTCTACTGTCATGTCGTAACAACAACTTCAATAGCGACGCATTTGATTTCTATATTTCGAGGTCGGTATATAATCAATTTGTACTGTGAATATCATTCACATAAATGTTACAGGAATTCTTTAAGAATATTATGAAGTTCATGGAGGCTAAGTGAACTTTTTGAAATAATAATATTTAATACACGAAACGCATTTTCCGAGCTTTGAAAAATTTTGGAGTTGATACATAAAAAGGACACAAGAGACATTCTAAATTGCTACATTCTTAGTAAAAAAAATCTTACCTTGCAGAGTCATAGACGTCGGTTCGGAGTGGCGTACTTTTAGCAATGAGAAGTCTGGAGTAGATCCGTCTCGTGTTGGTGGTCCTGAAAATCCACTTTTATCTGGAGGTGATTTGTCAACTATCATTGGGCCAGGACGAGGAGATGCATCATTTGACAGCTTTGGAGTTTCCAAATATCAAAATAGAAGAAACATAAGCAGCACAGATAGAGCCTTAATCAATGCATTCCGGGAAATCAACACAATGGCGGATAGAATTAATCTTCCAAAAACTATTGTGGACAGAGCAAACAATCTTTTTAAACAGGTAAATACTCTAGTATCCAATCATCTAAATATGTTTCTCTTTTGTGCCATAAAATAGTACTATCCCGTGTTTCCCATAGCTATCCTAGCAACCAAGAGATTCAGCATTCTGTCGATATGGCATCATATTGAGATTGCCAACAGGAGAAAAACTTGTTATTTTTTATGTATTGGTCATTTATTTTATTATTTTTATTATTTTATTTAAGTTATGTATTGATTCTTGCATATTAATGTATATTGGCTAAGTTAACACTTAAGGCCTTCTCTATTGGTTGATGCAGAAAAGAATGTAGTATGTGCATTGATTGTTATACTATATTTACTATATATAAACTATGTATGTTTATTAGACATACCTAGGATTATATAAATGTATCTATATTTTAATATATACATACATAGAGTATTATAATACATAAATATGAAAATGTTTCACATCTCATTTAAGATTAAGCACTTTTGTATATGTTCTCTCTTTTAAGCTGGTGAATTCTAATGAATAGCACCTCAAATTCCAAAGGTTTTTTTTTATATTTCAATACAATACCTATTTGGAAGCAGAAATATTAAAGACAATTCAATAGTCACACTACAATTTGAAAGGATAACAAAAAAAAAAAGTAGAATTTAATTTTGTTAAGTAAAATTCCTATTAGGTTGAACGTAAAAAATAAGATTTTTCATTGCATTGCATTCCATCATATTGCAGGTTCACGACGGTAAAAACTTGAAGGGTCGTGCCAATGATGCTATAGCTTCAGCTTGCCTCTACATTGCTTGTCGTCAAGAAGGTGTGCCACGTACATTTAAAGAGATCTGTGCCGTCAGCAAGATAAGTAAAAAAGAAATAGGAAGGTGCTTCAAATTGATTCTGAAAGCACTGGAGACTTCAGTGGATCTCATTACAACAGCAGATTTTATGTCTCGGTTTTGCTCGAATTTGGGTCTGCCAAATTCAGTGCAACGGGCAGCTACACATATCGCAAGGAAAGCTGGAGAGCTGGACATAGTGTCTGGAAGAAGTCCTATTTCAGTTGCTGCAGCTGCTATTTATATGGCTTCACAGGTATGTTAATAAATCTATTACTATTCTACTATAACTTATTCTTCATCATTGTCAGCTTAAGGAATTAATGATAATAATGAAATATTTAATTCAATTTGTAATTGACATTTTAATATCCTCAATATTGAAAACATGATTGCTTCATGTCATAAATGTGCAGGATTCCTACTGTAATTATGCAAATTTATATGCACAATATTGTGTATTTGATTTTTATCACACATTGTACATCCCCTACATTGTGGAAGTCACTCGTGACCACATGTTGATATAGATATTATATACATTTTATTACTATTTCAGGCATCAGAAGACAAACGCAGTCAGAAAGAGATCGGAGATATTGCTGGTGTTGCGGACGTTACGATCCGACAGTCTTACAAATTGATGTATCCATCCGCAGCAAGACTGTTCCCTGAAGATTTCAAATTCGCAACTCCTATTGAATTCCTACCACAGATGTAGACTACATGTTTTTGTACTATTAAGAATTGCTTTAAAATGTATGTGAGCAGTCTGAAAAATCTTGTAAGTTTTCTTAATGTTATAGTTTGTTAATATGTCCTAACTGGATGACTCTTCTTGAGAAGAATTCTCATAAAGATATGCCCCCTTAAATAAGTATGTTATACACATATTTTATACTGATCAGTTAGATCACTAATGATACTGTCATAATATGAATAATAATATGTCATATTCATCCTTGTCTACCTTCTTAATGAGGTAATTCAGTGTTCATGTAATTCATGATTACAGGAGTATATATACCGATAATGAGTGATACAAATACTATTCCAACATTGGCTGCAGAACTGCAAAGATATTTTCTAGAATTCGAACTAATAAGAATTAATTAAATAACATTGGTGCTTTTGTGCATTACAATATTTAGTTAGCAATGTCCTGACTACTGCGTTTTTACATAACTATTGATTAATTTTAAAAAGTGATATATAACTCAACTTACCATGCACTTTTGCAGCCCCCTTCATATTAGAAAACTGTATTATTTCTTCAATAAAACATAAGTAGTTTTTGTTTATTCTAAGGACTCAAACTTCATATGAGTCGACTATTATCAAAGGCGGCAATCTGACTTTTGGACAATGATTGGTAAATCAGAAAAACGAATTATTGACTTTGTATTCCATTGGCAGTCACAAAACTCTTCGGAACGACATCTTAGATAAATAACAGGTTAACTATTAACCTTTATTTAATGCAGGTTTTGAACCGTATTCTTTGAAGGAGACGATTATATTCAAATAAATCTGTATTGACATATCAATAAAAATTTTTTGTCCAAATGTACAGATTGCCGCCTTTGATAATAGACGACTCATATAGAGGGCTGAACGGCTATTTGTTTTAAGGGACATTTCGTTTAATACCCGACATTTACCTATGTAATTAAAGATCCGTTTTATTTGGTATTGGCATCATCAACAAATCGATGTTTTTAATTGAACTTTAATTAAGTTTTCCCTATTCAAAAAGCTGAATAAGATTTTATGTTATATTTTTTCCAAATTTGAAACGTTAAGTGGCTCTCCTGTAAAATTGCAAATATGTCACTTAAACCACATAGCTTTTCACCCCTCGATGGTGTTTTCAAGCTTGTAAATTCAAAGAGCACAAGGTGTCATGAAAATTTATTATCAAAAAAAATTATCATCATAACTTACCAACTTCAAATGTTCAGTATAATCTATGAGGCGAATGTCTATAAATTTTTTGGTTTACAAATAATACCGTTGCGTTATTTCGAATTTTGGAAATCGTTTATTAGTAATTGTGAATGCAAAAATGAGCATGTGATAAGTAGAGAATAGGGTAAGCGTATATGTAGTGTGAATGTGGAATAGATGTAACGCCATTACCAGTTTAGGAGTTGAACTGGGTACAGATCGCACAAACATTTGATTGTACATTCTGTGGAAAATTATTTCCAATCATAGCTCAGAGAATAAGAAAATACAGATTACGATAGACCAACAAACGTAAAGTAATAACATGCGAGTGAACAATGGATGATCTTATCGCAAACTCCTTTCATGCAGTTCGCAGCCATAAAAAATGTCACAACTAAATAATAATATCATTAATAATTACTTACCCACAAAGTTGTAATTTTCGTAATTGATAATTTCTTCAAAAAATTGAATTTTCAATTATAGAAAGATAATTATTTTTTTTGAAAACCAAGTACTTAGGCGATTGTTGATTTGGCTTTAAAGTAAAGAAAAATAATGTACCGCTTTATTTTGTTCATTTAATGTACAAAATTGAGGGTAGCCAACAAAAGTTCCTTAGGATTGTATGTATGTAAGGCCAAGATTTTGGGACATGAAACGGAATAAATACTATAATACTATAATTATACATATAATATCAAGTATTCTATGAATGTAAATGTATGTATATTTTTAATCTTGTTATAATATCAAGGATGCCTGCGTATTATTGTTATCGATGTAAAACTAGTTTTTAAGAATATAAATTTCGATAGAAGTTTTTGAAGCGATGTTTTTGAAGACAGCACGTTTTGTTATTCCACTTGACAGGGTTAGTTAATATTTAGCTCTGTAAATTTAATACCCGTTTCCACTATGTCAGTTTTGCCGTCTCACATGGCTGTGATCGGTTTCTGGCTGATCAATTTGAATCTGAAGTTTGGATCTAAAGAAAACAGTGCTTTGTAAGTTGATCGAATATTTTGTCACTGCAGAGCCGATCGGAATACCAGGCCGGCAATGGAACTTGAACAATTAAACACGTGTCAACGACCTCGCTGTTTATGTTGATTTCATTAACACTACATCGTTCTCACTTCACTTAGTATACCGGCATTGTCAAACCAAAATCTGCTATGTGCAGTTTTTGAGATTTTTACTTTTTGACCTTTTCGTATAGTTCACAGCCCTATCTACCGTATAAAAAAAAACTGTTATGTGTCTATAGCTTTAATATTTTTCTGTAGCTTTCATTTGATATAGTTAAAAAATCATCTTCATATAAAACTTTTACAAAATGTTTTTACTCGTTAATTCAAAATAGAGTTTTTGCACGTAGCAGATTTTGGTTTGACAGCGACGTACTTTGTAACTGCGGAAGTCATATTAAACCCTAATGGTATACTAGCGCCATTGCTTGGTCCTTTAAGCCTGATACTTTGATCTTCATTACTTACCTCAATCTTCCATACTCCGGCTTCGTTCTGTACAGAGACGTCGTACCACAATGATATTTTCCGTTATTAAAGATTAAAGTGAGACCTTAGGAAGTTAACTGACCAGCAATGGACAGGATACAGCAATGGAATAGTTTAGTGTCATGTAACAATAGTATTACATAAAATATTGATCATATTTTTTTCTTCTATGGAGCTTAGAACATATTTGTGTTACTTCAATTAGGGTCGCCAGGACGATCAAACAGATTCAGAAACAAAATTATTTCATTATTATGGCGTACTTATCGCTACTCAGATGGGGTCTGATTCCGCGCGAAATTTAAATTTAATCGTGTTCCAAAAAAAGACTAGTTTTTTTTTTATTTCGGTGATTTTTTTTAATCAATCTTGTTAGCAATCACGAAATATACTACTGCATGTATCACAGACAATTATTTGAACTTTTTTTTTTCATTTAGTCTTCTCCGGAATTTGATTCATGTTTATTGACGGCTGTAACTTTGACATTTCTCGTTTCTAAGTTTACTACTTTAATGACAAATAACTTGAGGTTTAAATGATTTGAAAAAGGAAAATTTATCTGTTGACGAACGAAAAGAGGTTTGTTTCTGCTTCGTAATTTATACGAAAGGTTTGCTTTTAAGGTAAAGTTTTACTTTGTGATTTTTCTTTATAGCTTAAGGCGACGACGTATTAATAAACTTAATGTAAACGTTTTTTTTTTTGTAAAAATACCAATAAAGTATGTTTAATTTAAGCATAACGTTTGTTTTATTGCCGATATGTTTTATACACCGAAATCGAGATCAATTTATTCGTAAATTTTTTTTGTAGATCTATAAAATTCGTATACAAGGAAAAATATATATAGTTACAAATACCTTTCTTTTTTTTTTACTATCTACTAATTGACGTCAATTACACCTAGGATTTTTATAAGCTAAGTTGGTACGTGAACGGTATTAGATTAGGGAGCAATATACAATAGGCAGCACCTGTAACATTGCCTGTAACATTGAAGAAAGGCCATCATTGTCGTGGACGGTGTCCTGCAGTGGATTGTAGGTCATCTGCTTAATGAGGCCATAAAATGAGAGGCAGCAGCCAAGCAAGCGGCCGAACTGTGTGCTTAATTCGAGGTTTTTAACGTTCTCGATAGCGTAACAGTTAACTCAAATTTGTATGGAGTTGGAACGTTGGCAACGTTGGTGCTGGCAACGTTGGCGCTGTTCCAACTACATACTTTGAGTTAACGTTTACGCTATTGAGAACGTTCAAAAACTCGCAGCACCCTGAAGTTTAGCATTTAAATCGACGCAGCGTCACAGCTGCCATTGGATATAAGATCGAAATATCGATTGCTTTATTTTGTGTCTCCCGTAAACAACTCAATCTTATAACCGCTACCCGATAACAAGTAATTAAAACGTAAATTTCTTGAGATACCAGCTCAAGTGCCTTAGCAGAAACGTGTCTGCATTACACGTTCAATTATCGTTTACATCCACAAAGCCTTGAGATCGATGTTAGAAGAAATGAGTTATGAAGTAGGTATATCCTTTCGTTATTTGCTTTTTATTGTTGCCAATGATCTTACATCCCATCCCACCTGATGACATGTGGGGCGACACTCAATTGCTTAGAAATGGAACGCCTAAATGTTATGCTCCAGAGATAAGAACATTTTTGGTACCTGTGTACGTATCTTATACCTTTAAACGAGCAATCCTTATATATATATATATATATATATATATATATATAATCTGAATCTCGGAAACGGCTCCAACGATTTTCATAAAATTTAGTATACAGGGGATTTCGGGGGCGATAAATCGATCTAGCTACGATTTATTTTCAGAAAATGTTGTTTTATTCGTGTTTTCAATAATCAACTCTTCCCGACATCTATTGGCGAATAATAATACTATTTTTCTTAATTGAAGGGCAACTAACCCCTTTAAAGACACAAGATGGCGTTATAAAAAAAAAAACGAGCAATGCTCGGCATCATCTAGTTTATGTAATAAATTGCTTACAAATATACAGTTGTTTACAAACACAACGGGTGCCTTACTTACCAAGCCGGGGACGAATACGCTGCCATAAAGCTTAATGAGTACATAATATTACCAATATTTTCAAGCATAAAGAAAGCTTGTTGCCGTAACATTTTTGACCGAAGCCGCGGGGTGCATTCGCAGAGAGGTAGTTAGGATAAATATGTGGGGACCTTAATAGCTTTGTTGTATAAATGCAACTATTACTTTCTTCCTCCCAATTAACAGGTTTGACGTTCGATATCCCTTTAGGAATACAACAGAAGGCTTAAGAGGATTTAATAATAATTTAGAGGTATACACAGGGATTACCCGATAAGAGCTTCTAAAATGCGGACCGACGAGAATTTCACGAAAGATTTACATGCGTAAACATGTTTTGCAACTTATTATCTTGTTTGTCGCTCGATTTCAAGGAGATAATCCTATAGTTTCCTTTATGTTTTCAAAATCTATAGTTATAAATCTCAAACAAACAAATCCTAACAACTGTATTTATTATCTGCTCATTTTTATGACGGTAAGTAAGATTCCCTGAAGAAAAATTAATGACAATTTAAATTAAATCGTCTAAATGACATATTATGTACATACATATAAATACTAAGGTTTTAAATAAGTCAATGTACACTAATATCCATTATTGTAATAAAATAAAAATAAACAATCGTTTTCGCTAAGGATTATCGTTTGCCGTGTTTATTAAAAGAAAAAGAAATGGTCGCATTCCTTTTTTCTATGAAAAAGAATTTTTCTTTCGTTGATTGCATTATGAAAACCCATTGTTAAATTATTTTATGAACTGGTGGTAAAATATATTGTGCATCCTATTTTTGCAACGAGGCAGTCATGTGTTCCGGTTTTAAGGTCTGGATAACTTTAATGCACTTGATCCATCGAAATAATATCTTAAATTGGTAGAATTCACGCTGTAATGTCATAGGGCCGCAAAAAACAAACCTTTCAATGTAAAAGACACGCAAAAAATTATTACGAACGTTAATCCACGCTTTAATTTTATAATAATTCTAAATTTGGTTCTGTGTCCCAAATTTCATACACGTGCTTTGACAATGATTTTACGATAAGACCAATCAAGCACGCCCTTATTACGTATGCAACAAAGTAGGTTTATAGCAGCGCTTCGAAGTTAATGACTTATAAACGGTTATGTTCTATGTTTTGTTGAACCATCGATGGTTTCGACGACCAATTTCCAGTACAGCTATAATTAATGCGGTATTACTTCCGCCGCGAGCCTAAACAGGCGTTGGAGGACGTAATTATTCGATTCTAATTTCTTTTTTTTATTGGTTAGATGGGTAGACGAGCTCACGGCCCATCTGGTGTTAAGTGGTTACTGGAGCCCATAGATATCTACAACGTAAATGCGCCACCCACCTTGAGATACAAGTTCTAAGGTCTCAGTATAGTTACAATTGAGTTATGATTCAGATAGGAATTAGAAGATTTTGCATATTTATTTATTTACTTCTTGTGACGACAGGTGAACGACCTCATGACGCATCTCGTGTTAAGCGATTATCGGAACTTGTAGACGTCACAATGTGAATTCTACCTTGAGTTCTGAGGTAGAAGTGTTATTATTTTTTTCTATTACAAATAAATAATAGTTTAAAAAAACTAACAGAATACGCTTTTATAGAAAACCCATCTAAAAAATAGAAAATAATTTTTAATAAATTTGAATTAAAAATAGTGTAAGAAAAATGATTTTATTGTAAAAAAGCGAATTGAATTGTCATCGGTCCTTAATAAGTATACCAAATTTCGAGTTAATCCGACGTTTTGAAGGCGGTCAAAATCATGTTCAAAGATTCCGTTACAAACATACATACGTCTGAAGCTAATAAAAGCGTATTAAAACATTGACATCGCGGTAGAAACAGTTCAGTTGCTACATTAACGACATCTCCGGTCTATGCCGACCCTGTTAGCCTTTTTAAGATCAAGTTAAGTGAAAACTCATGAACAGATGATGCACTCAGGGTGCTATTCGACGTTACTAGTAGCCACAGGTCAACTTACTCGTGGAAGAGTGTGTAGTGATAGTAGTGATACATAGATAGCTCATAGCATCAGTCTTCGTTGTTTCGCAATTAAGATCAGTTGCGCTCTTGAAGGACTGCCTTAAAAAGTCGAGGTCGAGGCGAGGCGAGGAGCAGCTGTTAGTAAACAGCCCAATTGAGTCCTCGAATTCGTGACCCGTTACGCTAAAACTGAAAAAAGCCTCCGGGTAATCAGAAATCACTCCATCTTAAAAAAAAAAGGGTAGGAAAAGTCAGAATCAAAGAGGCACAGGAACTCATCTCTAATATCATCAAAATTTTAAGATTAAATTTAAATTGAAGTTAAATTTTAGTCCACAGAATAGATTATCTAGGATAATGAAAAGGATTTATAATAAAATGAAAAACAAAATGATTATTTGTTTCATTAAAATAACCGTATCAGGTTTTCTAATCAGATAAGCTATACCGGAGAAATGGTTGTTACCGTCACATTGAGGCTAGAAATATTTGAGTTTATAACTTAGGTAAAAATATTACTTTATTTACACTAAGTTGCATTGGACGGTATTTTTAAAGTCTACAAAACTAAAAGAGTATTGTACATATTTTTGGTATTAAGGTCATGAAATCAGTTGAATCAGTTTTGAGAATAGCATCTTTACTCGGAAAAGCGAACGATTTAAATTTATCAAGATTCTAAATTTAGTCTTTAACGCGTATACTTATTTCGCCACGGACAAAGAACGTAGGTACATATATTTTATATACGTACCAACATTTTTTCATTTCATTCACTAAAATTGTACTACGCATTAAATTTTAGCTGATCTTTTTAAATACTTATTTAGCATTATTACGTACTTATTTCTAGTCGAAAATGAACTTTCTTCATTATGAGTGTTTAATGCGAAATACTGTTGTCTGTGAATTTCGAATTTTTACCGTAGTTTTTTTCAGGTTTTTTTTTATTGCCTAGATGTTTGGATGTGCTCACAGCCCACCTGGTGTTAAGTGGTTATTGGAACCCATAGACATCTACAACGTAAATGGGCCACACACTTTGAGATATAAGTTCTAAGGTCTCAGTATAGTTACAACGGCTGCCCCACCCTTCAAACCGAAACGCATTACTGCTTCACGGCAGAAATAGGCGGGGCGGTGGTACCTACCCGTGCGGACTCACAAGAGGTCCTACCACCAGTAATTACGCAAATTATAATTTTGCGGGTTTGATTTTAATTACACGATGTTATTCCTTCACCGTGGAAGTCAATCGTGAACAATGTTAAGTATTTAACTCTTAATAAGGTAAAGTATTTATAAAAAAACATTTTTGTACCTTAAAAATATTAAAATACCTATTTGATAGTTTTTACTAGCCAAGAAAACAATACGTAGTTTACACGAATATTTCTCAAGCAATAGATTTTACAATGGCTTCCAATTTTAATCTAAATGACATTACACCATTTTGACGTGATTTACGGGCGACAGTGACGACGAATATTTTATTACGGTTTTATTCTTTTTACCAAGTTACTGTGATGTTTGTGGAACCATCAAAGTAAGAACGTAACACATAATTATGTTTTTTATTAATGACGACCACGACTATACACGTAATGTAACGACACGATAATGCGGGATTTACATTACGAAATTAGTGTCATGCATGTTGAGCTCAGTTTCACGAAAGTAGTTTCGATATATGCGAAAGTAATTTCGTTAAAAAAATAGTGCCGCGAAATCCACAGTATCGCAGTAACCATAGCGCCTTCAGCATCAAAGCTATAATTTGCTATATTCAATGTAGCTAAAGAAATGCTTATATACCTATAAACTTAAAAAAATACTATCAAGAAAAAAGAAAGTTGGTAGATTCGAGGATGGTCAACAAGAAGGCATTTAGGTGCAATGAAGTTAGTCTCTGAATTAGCAGATGAAGATCCTGAGAGTTATAAAAATTATTTTCGAATGAGTGAAGATAATTTTGATTTTTTAGTGTAGGTGTTTCGGGTCCCATAGACACCCTTGTCGCTGATATTCATTAATAAGATCAATATTTTTTTCTGTACTCTTCTTTAAATATAAGGATGCCTTCAACAGTGCGGTTGTTTTTGTTCGGGCTTCATGTTTACTGGTGGAAGACCTCTTCTGAGTCCGCACTGGTAGGTACCATCACCCCGCCTATTTCTGCCGTGAAGCAATAATGCGTTTCGGTTTGAAGGGCGGGGCAGCCGTTGTAATTATACTGAGACCTTAGAACTCATATCTCAATGTGGGTGGCGCATTTACGTTGTAGATGTCTATGGGCTCCAGTAACCACTTAACACCAATTGGGCTGTGAGCTCGTCCACCCATCTGAGCTATAAAAAAAATAAAAAACAGTATTTACATTATTAACATATTTTCTTAGCATGTAAGCTATTGAATATACGTATCTTTCGTACTTTGTAAATTTTTACTTGTTTATGGTCAATGAAGAGTATATTTTCTGGTGGTAGGGCTCATTGCGACCCGGCCGGGAGCAGCCTTTCAATTTAATTACCGTTTTATTAATTGTGACTCAATCACGGAGGCTTTGAGAGACGTTGGTTTATAATTAATTGAATTAAAGACGAAGGTTTGTGTAAGGACAGTTGGCAAATTATTACAGTTTTCCCATGGACACAGCCCACTGAGTCTCTTGCTAGATCTTCTTTCTGATGGCGCCGCGATTCCGATTCGGTGGTAGATTCTGCGAAGCACTGCTCTTGCTAGGGCTAGTGTTAGTAAATTCTCTCAGGTTGAGCCCGTGAGCTCACCTACCAGTTCGAACGTAGCTGAAATAACCCATTAGACTATTAGCGAACAGGTAGGGAAAAACAAACAGTTTTTGAAGTTACCTATACTTCTTTAGGCGCGTTATGAAAAATTGATGAGAGTGAAATATTACGATGCGCGCGCACCGTGACACAAAATTAACAGAATGAAGTTGCCGACTAAATCGCTCATTACAATACGACCGACGTAACTAGGCGAGTCTGAATATAGCCGCAGGTGAACTTTCCGAACCGTACCGAGAATTACCGAATTTATACGATGTCAAGAAAAGGGATGTCCAATATGCGTGTTTGAGGATGTTGTTTAATCGATTTTTTTTCAAATTGATTAAAATTTAAATTAAAAAAAAGAAATAAATTTAATAAAAATAAAGTATAGCTTCTTACGCGCGTACATCAGTACACGCACCCTTTTTTTAAATCATATACTTAAATTTTGTTGTTGTAAAAGTCAAAATGATAATTTAGATTAATCATAAAAGAAGAAAGATGTAATCAAAATGCAGTTTGAAAACTAACTAATTTATCTACAAAGTTGTCTAAAATAACTTGGTGATAAAAAAATCTTATACTTTTCATAGACTTTTCATAGTCATCCGGTGCTTGCAGGGTGTCGAAACCTGTAGGAAAACCGAATACCTTATCCCGTTTCTAGACACGAAATCGAAGTCCCAAACTTTCAAACCAGAACGCAACACTAGAACTAGGCTTGCTTATATTTATCAATGTCAGCAGTAAATACTTAGAGAATTCTGTTAACCATTACTCTTAGCCATGTATTACGTCAACTATGAGATAAGTAGAAGTGGTGCTATTCCAAACGCGAGAGACTCAAAAAGGTCTACTAAAAATATGTTGTTATAAACACGAAATATGTACTTATGTTTTTTTATATTTTTTTATTGCTTACATGGTTGGACGAGCTCACAGCCCACCTGGTGTTAAGTGGTGACTGAAGCCCATAGACATCTACAACGTAAATACGCCACCCACCTTGAGATATAAGTTCTAAGGTCTCAGTATAGTTACAACGGCTGCCCCACCCTTCAAGCCGAAACGAATTACTGCTTCACGACAGAAATAGGCAGGGTGGTGGTATCTACCCGTGCGGACTCACAAGAGGTCCTACCATCAGTAATTACGCAAATTATAATTTTGCGGGTTCGATTTTTATTACACGATGTTATTATATTATGTAATCCGTTTTACCTTTTTCTCTTAGATTTAAATTTAAAAACTTCAAAAATCTTGTTCTTTATTTATAGACTGCGGGCTTTACTAAAAGCACGATCAATTTGTCACGGTTTTTCCGCTACGTGCTACGAAAAAGCTACGACAATTCGAACAATACTGACAAACAATTCAAACATTACGTTCAGTATCGGTCCAACTCTCGGACGGGAGGGTTGTGTCGCTCTGCACGATCCACGCGTTTCCGTATTTACGTACGCGGCATTTCTAATTGAAATCCAATTAAAATACAATGACCCAGTGGCGTTGCGACTTGATAATAGGATAATCGTTGTTCAGTAACGTAATATGTAGTGTTTAGTTGATTGAAAATGTGTTCAGAGGATGTGAGTTCGGAATGATGTTGAGAGAATCCCGATGGCGTTTAGGATTGATGCTCCTGTGCTTTTACACTGTCGATGGATTAATTGGTAATTAATATGAATGTATAGTTAATATTTAAAAAAAATGTGAGACTCAATAACTCAGTCAAGCAAAAAAATGGCCGTGCGGATTTGGATAAATTTTCGTACAAACATATATTTTTAATTGAGTTACCTACTTTACATATTTTTAATGTGATAAATGACACATTATTATCCCTGGCAACGCCGGCTACGTATGGCTTAAAGAATACGATGCGTTGCATTATTTTTTAATTATAAATTTTACGCGAGTGAATCCGCAAGGAATTCTTGTTATATCTTGTTTTTTTTTATTTGGTTTAAATTAATCGGGAATCACTTTTGAGGTGAATGTTTGTTAAATGCATTAGTGGCTAGTACTGTCGTGCGTGCTTGTGACGACAGTTGTAAGATCGAGAAGTATTAGACATTAACATTGCTATAAATCGAATTTAACGTGGAGGCTCTCATTATGAGTAGTCCGTTTTTTTTTCTTTCTTTATTAGAACCATACACCTATTAGGTTAAGTCGGCTAGGAGTCCGTTTAAAGTTTTATTTGAAGCTAATGAATGATCTTGATCAACTCGTCTGAGTAACGTTTTCCTGTGGCGGGAGTCTGTCTCTTCAACAAAGATGTTTGGCATTCAAGAGCTGGGTGTATTTCTCTTTGTCTGTACGTAGTACGTCTCTGGTACGTAAAAATCCATACTAATATTATAAATGCGAAAGTAACTCTGTCTGTCTGTCTGTCTGTCTGTCTGTTCCTCTTTCACGCCTAAACGGCTGAACGGATTTTGACGAAATTTGGTATGGTGATAGATGATAACTTAGAAATGGTCATAGGCTATAAATAATCACGCCATCGTTCTTAGGGGGTAGGCAGTAGGCAGATAACTAAATTGAGTTAGTGATTTTTAGTCGTTTTTGTTGGGACTTTTGCTCTTTCACGTATAAAAGGCTGAACAGATCTTGATGAAATTTAGTAAGGTAATAGATGGTTACCTAAAAACGGATATAAGATCAAAATGATCACGTCATAGTACTTAGGGGGTAGGAAGTAGGCAGAAAACTGAATTGAGTTAGTGATTTTTTTATGGTTTTTGGTGGGAGTTTTGCTCTATCATGCCTAAACGGCTGAACGGATTTTGATGAAATTTAGTTAGGTGATAGATAGTAACCTAGAAAAGGATATGGGCTATTAATATTCATGCTATCGTACTTAAGGCGTAGGCAGTAGGCAGAAAACTAATTAAGTTAGTGATTTTTAATAGTTTGGTTTAAAAGTTTACCTCATTCACGCCTTAACGTCTGAACGGATTTTTATAAGACTTGGTTAATATAAAGATAGGATCCTAGGCACGGACACAGGCTGAGGTTTTTTTTCTACACTAGAAATTCCCTAGAAATCTTATATATGGCAAAACAACGTTTGCCGGGTCAGCTAGTAAGAAATAAAACGTGGTTTTGATGGTGATACGAATATTTATTAAGTTTGCTGTGTTAACGAATGCTCAAGGATATCTGTTATGGAATGTGTTACATAACATTAGTGACAGTTGCGTTAGTTTTAAGCCTGGGCGCATATTGTACGCTTCTCTGTCCGGCGTGTTTACGGCGAGTGTCTGGAAACTTTCTGCGTGTGTTCTTTTTTACAAAAGACCGCTTTGCAGATAGACTTTAAGGTTGTTTACTTATCTACGCGATTGGTATTTTTTTTCTACCTGAGCTGATGATCTAGAGAGACCATATCAGCGTATCCTTAACTAGTAGCTGAGCTCACGGGGCTCAAGCCTGACGATGTTGCTAACACGAACCCTAGCAAGAGCCGTGAGACCCACTGAGAAGATTCGGCGAGAAACTCAGTGGGCTGTGTCTGTGAGCTAATTTACTCGCCGAGCCCTTCGTCGCAAGTGACGGGTTCGACGAGAACGATGACCGGAGGTTTGGTAGTTTTTTTTTAGCGTTGCTCATGATCGAGGATTGTGATCACTAATCATCAGGCCCTAAGCTCCTCTCACTTCGAAGGAACAATAAAAACACATTACTAAAATTCAAGTGGCCGTCTAATCAATCTAACTTCCAGTTCGATTTCGATTCCCTAGGTGGCTAATTTTCGCAATCTACCCAAACCACACCCACACGCGATCACACATAATCACTGAATCAAATTACGCTTTCGTGTATCAATTATGCGAATGACAAAGTTATTAACCGTGACATAATAGTTAGTAGAACAAAGTTTTTCTGCGAGAAGTAGACAACATTCAAAACAACGTGGGCAATGTCTATGTCAATGTCAACGTCTAAGCAATAAAATAATATTTAAAAAAACTCATGACATTGTATCATGTTATCTATATCTATACTAATACAAATATTATAAAGAGGAAAGATTTGTTTGTTTGTTTGTTTCGAATAGGCTCCGAAACTACTGGACCGATTTCAAAAATTCTTTTTCCATTAGAAGCCGACATTGTCCCTGATGAACATAGGCTACTTTTTAAAAAAAAAAAAAATATTTTATTTTTTTGGTTTCATGTGTGTTTTAATGTTTCCGAAGCGAAGCGAGGGCGGGTCGCTAGTTGGTGGTATAAAAGTGTTAGAATAAATAGTTTTTCATTATTTTAAATTCTCGGACAGTTTATCCTTACAAATGTCTCAGCAACAAAGGGCTATTTGCCCTGTCGCCTTAAAGGAATCAAGGTCGTTTGTAACTTAAAAAACATACCGAGTGATTTATATTATCCTATTTGCTATTTGCTTTAGTAATCAATAATCAATATCGAACAGTTATGATACCCTCTGGTTCCTAGCTTTGCTTCCATCATCGCCTTACCCAAATAGCATCAACACTTATGATCCTTTATTAGAGAACTATCCCCTCCCCATCCAGTCAGTCAGTCCTATTCCTAATTCCACACGGCACGGTTGCCGTCATTGTCGTAGTAAATATTTGTATATCTATTTCATATTAAAATCTTTTTTAAAATATATTTTCTTAATTCCTTATAACAGAACGCTCTTCGACGTAGGATTATTTTTACTTCGATTAGTAAAATTAGATTCATAAAAAAAATGTCTTCCCCCTGATTGCTAAATCATTTGAAATCTAGGGATTTATTTAAGCGTCTATTGCAAATTGATGGTATTACTCGTATACTGAGACTGACACATTTGCTATTTATTGATGCAGTTTTCAAAATATTCTTGCTCGTTTAGGAACGAATTTCTTACGTACCAGTTGTACTTAAGTAATAATTCACCTATCCGCGGTTCTGATCTGGTAAAGACGCTCACCACCGGCCTGCCAATAACCGGGTCTATAAAGACCGCCGAGGACAGGAAGACATAAGGAAGTATAGTGCATCGAGTGGTGATCATATTAAACTAAACACGACCTTCAGCAATAAAGAGACCGATTCACCGACCGACCGCAAAATTATAATTTGCGTTATTACTGGTGGTAGGACCTCTTGTGAGTCCGCGCGGGTAGGTACCACCGCCCTGCCTATTTCTGCCGTGAAGCAGTAATTCGTTTCGGTTTGAAGGGCGGGGAAGCCGTTGTAACTATACTTGAGACCTTAGAACTTATATCTCAAGATGGGTGGCGCATTTACGTTGTAGATGTCTATGGGCTCCAGGAATCACTTAGCACCAGGTGGGCTGTGAGCTCGTCCACCCATCTAAGCAATAAAAATAAAAAAAACAGAAGGAAAAGAATAATTCTTGCCTAAACTTCGATTCCCGTCTCCTTAGCAAAAACGCATTTACATTTGACAGGCGCGGTTTCGAGTTTTCGAGTTTACTCTGCTCCGAGATTAGTTGGAGAGACAGCGCGCTGACAAATTTATGTTAAACGCGTTATTGTTGGGCCGCATTTAGTACTACGTTTAGCCATAATTAACTATATTTAGATATCGTTACACTGTTTGTAAGTGGTTGGCGTAAGACACAAATCTAATAATGCAATGATATTAAATAGTCTGGTCCGCTGGATGATGCAGGCAGCGCAAGACCCATCCTTGTGGCGAGGCTTGGGGAGCTAGCTCTATGTCCTGCAGTGTGGGCTGGAAAATAAATTGTGCGTTTTTTTTGTATGTTGCATATATGGTTGGACATCTCCACCTGGTGTTAAGTGGTTTTCGAAGCCCGTAGACATCCACGACGTAAATGCCGCCACCCACCTTGACATATGAGTTCTAAGGTTTCACAGTATAGTTACAACGGCTGCGCCACCCTTCAAGCCGAAACGCATTACTGCTTCGCGGCAGACATAGGCAGGGTGGTGGTACCTACCCGTGCGGACTCACAAGAGGTTCTACCACCAGTAAATTTAATAACATGTTTTTTTTTCTGTATTCGCGTAACTCAGATGAAAATGGTTATCTGAGGCCGATCATCATGAAGCGTTTAGAGCATCATGTGCTGCATTTTTTTTTTAAGTTATTTATTAGAAGAATATTGAGTTGTAATTTTTTTTTCGGTAGATAAATTATCACACTGTCTAGTTTTAAGTAGTGGTCCATAAATATTACAACGGTGCCACCACCCCCCAACCTTGAGACACGAGGTCAAATTCACGATTATACTGGATTAGAGCGAGAAGACTGCAATCTAATACAACTTTTTTTTTGTTGGCTCAGGTTTTTAGGTAAAAGGTTCAAATACAATTTTCACTCATTGGATACGAGTTAAAAAAATAAAATTACACAAAATTAAAAGACAACTATTTTTAATTTAGGCCTTACGACTTAAGATTGATCCTTACGAAATCGACAGACCTCAAGCGTATATTTAGTTGGGCTCTTTTCTTCCTAGCTATTCTAGTAACCTTGAGATGCGATTTTTACACCAACGTCTGCTTAAGGTCGGGAGACGACAGATCTACCTGTACCCGGGAACATAGGAGCTCTTGATTGAGATTATTTACCAGCGCACTGTCTGTTTAAAAAATTACGTTTGATTGTTCCCCTGGCGTTTGTAACGTCCATGAGCAACAGTAACCGCTAAATATCAGTGTGCTTAG